TCACCATTTAACTTATCAATAATAATGACTTCTAGAGGTGTTCAATCTGAACCTGTCCCGATTGGCCCGGTATCGTCCCGATCATATCGAGACGGGTCTTGTCCCGACCCGAAAATAATTAGGACGGGACTTTACGGGACAGGACAAAAAAGGGGTTTGGGACGGGACGGGACACGGGATTACCATCGGGACGTCCCGTCCCGTCGCGAATATTATATATATTATTTTATATTTTAAATATTTTAATTATATTAATATAATTTATACTTATATTAATTATATCAATTATAATTTTAATACTTACAATTCTTATTTAAAACCAAAGTGTTTTTATATTAATAATTTTAATGACATGGAGTAAATATGGCGATATCTTTTTTATAATATATTAATTATATTAATATAATTTATTCTTATATCTATCTATTTAATAACTTTTATTTATAACATATTTCTTGCTTATTTTTAGAAGAGTAATTAACTTAATACATCTTCACTAAAGTAGAAGAATAATTATTTGATGTTGTATTTGACTTGCCTGTTGTTGCTAATCTTATAGCATAAAGATCACTTATATTTTTTTATTATAATATGTAGTTGTGATTAATATAATTCAATAATTGATTTTAAATTATTGCTATTTATGTACTTGTGTTTTTTTGATTTTAAACTTAATAAATTATATAATTTAAAATTTTAATGAACGTTATTATCCAGATCTTTTTCCGATATTATTTCATTTATCCCGTCCCGACTCTTAACAGGACGGGACGACTTTCGGGATGGGACGAGACGGGACACGGGACCAAAATTTAGTCCCGATCTTTTTTTCGGGACGGGACACGGGACGGGGATGTCCCGGTCCCGTCCCGTCCCGTGAACACCCCTACTGACTTCTCACCTCTCTACTGTTTTCAATTATATTTAAATTTATCATAACCTTCACAATTACCAATTTTGCCTTTATAAATTACATAAGACTTCATATTTTTAATGCTACGATCTATGGTTGTATAGTAATTTCAAATATTTTTTTTGTGTAAATAAGTAAATTAGTCTCTAAATTATATATGCATAAGTGTTTAATACCTTAAACTTATTTTTTACATAATGCTTTTCTTTAAATTTTTAAAACAATACAATTTGGCTTTTATCGTTAACAAAAATTAATTTTATTCATCAGTTGATTAGAAAATAATCTTAATAATTACAAAAAATGACCAATAAATTTTTTTGTCATTTTATATTATTTTTTGGATCATTAATTGCTTGTAATTTTTTTGATCCTTTATTGTAATTTCTTAATCCCTTTTCTTTTCTGAGGTAGCAATTTAAATTTAAATTCATTATTATTTTATCTCATTTTTTAACTTATCAATGCTAATAACTTCTTCTCACCCCTTACAATTCCTAATTAGATTTAAATTTATCTTAGCCTTTATAGTTTCCAATTTTACCTTTACAAATTACAATTACAATGCAATGCAGTATATTTGAAGTTGTATTTCATATCATATAGAGTACATCACTACTCTTGACAATAACAACTGTACAATTAATTAGTCAAACTTCAAAATTTCATTTTGTTGTGCTAAAAAATTTACATCATCTCTTTTTTGCTTAAGTCTATTTTAGTCAAATGTCAACTATTTGAAATATTTGTTGGGCAATGTAAGTATATAATTTTTAGTTTCTATTCTCTCTTTCATTGTAATGAGATTGTTTCGAGATTACTGACTATGAGATACATCATCAAACCAGTCTTACTATGATTGAGTTATTTGAAGACATTTTTTTGTTGTTGTAGCAATTCACTCTCTCAAACAGTGAGGTTGTCTCTTGAACATTTATTTTAGTTCATTTTATTATTCTTTAATATCATGTAGTCTGGAGAAAAGTTATAGTTTTGTGGGTTTGACTAATAATGGGATCATTTTTTAAATTAAAAACAAAAAAAATGTTGGAGAAAAGTCACGGTCATGTATATCTATGCATGGCACATTTTAAGTATGATTGGCTTCGTGTTATCACTCGAGTGAATAATTAATTTGGTTTCAATGGTTTGGATTTATGGATATAGGTGTTGGAAAAAAAATGAAATCCAATCTCTTAAATTTAATTATTAAATCAGAAAAGGTCCTAACACGTTATGAAATTTAGAAAATAAATCATATTGTGTTTGAGTAAAACAACTAATAATGGGATCATTTTTTAAATTAAAAACAAAAAAATGTTGGAGAAAAGTCATGGTCATGTATATCTATGCATGGCGTATTTTAAGTATAATTGGCTTCGTATTATACCTCGAGTGAAGAATATTAATTTGGTTTCATTGGTTTGGATTTATGGATATAGGTGTTGGAAAAAAATGAAATCCAATCTCTTAAATTTAATTATTAAATCAGTAAAGGTCCTAACACGTTATGAAATTTAGAAAATAAATCATATTGTGTTTGAGTAAAACAAAATGTACTGTCCATAAATTATTAAGATTTTTTTTTACCAATGAATTATTAAGAGTATTGAGTGGACACAAGAGAGAGTCACTCTTTTAACCTAACCTAATCTTTTTATTATTTTCAATTATATTGTCAATCATTTCATTCCTATCTTTTTATTTTCCATCCAGTTATAATTTCATTCTTTCTAATAAAATATTTACTTTCTCAATGCATTCCATTTTTATATTTATGCTTTCAATGGTAAATCTTCGAGCCCCTAGTGCCCATGACCAATCATCTTTCAAATTTTTTAAAGTTCTTTTTTCATTGAGAGAATTTTAGGATACATTGGTCAATCTGATGTTTAACGAATAAAATATTAATCATATTTTGAAACTCTCACTCTTCATTTAGGATACGCTTCCCTTGTTCTTGGTAATTACCATTGCAATTCTTTAGAGTCTAGGTCCCCCCTTTTATTGTCTTGAATATGAACATTGTATTTTATATGCAATTCTTTGCCTACATGCTTCATTTCTTATATACTGGTTATTAGAGACAATTGAAGTGAGGGACCATACAATTGAAATGAAGAAGATTGTAGAGTTAGAGAACCCTATAGCTGACTTCCTAATGAAGGGCTTCATTCTCTATGAAGAGCTTTGTTCTCTATGTTTGATGTGTGACATATCTTTGTGATGTAAATTTAAGATTTTATTTTCTATATATAAGAACAAAGAAAAGATCAAATATATTTGTGTGCCATTTTATGTTAATTATAATAGATCACACCAAATTCGATTTTAAAAATTGCATCACGTTTTTTAATTTATGTATTAAAATTAAAAGAATTTAAAAGAACTAAAAAATTCAACATAAATTACCAAGTAAAGACGAGTATAACTTGTATGTATAAAAAAAGATCGGATTTGATTTTTTTTTTTGATGAAATTGAATTTGAATGTTATAGAAATTTATATTTTCAAATATACATATTTTTAAAATTGTAAGGGGATGCAAATAATTTTTTGGGAGGAAAAGGAAAAATTATTTTGAAAATTGTAGTTATTAATATTAAATTATTTATGTGAAATTATAAAATTCAAAACTCTTTGAAAATGATAAAGTCTGATTCGATTCTTCTCATGCCTATTATAAATATATATTTTTAAAAAAATTTTCTTATTCATAATAATATCAACAATAAAAAAATACTTAGAGGAGTCAAAGAAGAAAGGAAATAGTGGAAGAAGAATAATAACAAATGCACAAAAGAAATTTATATAAATAATGATAGGAAAAATGCGGGTACAATAACTATTAAATATCCTATCTCAAAAAAATCTCCACAAAAAAATGTGAATTTGCATTTAGATCAAAATGATAATTTGACATAGAAATATATAAAAGAAGATGGATAGAGCTTCTCCAAATAATATTTAATAATTACTTTAAAAAATAATATTTAATAATTCATAATTCATTTCATTTAATTAATGATATTAAAATTTTCTCAATACCCAACATTAATAAGATTTCTCATCCCCAATCATCATTCATTTTCTCTACCTTCTCTTCAAATTCATATGACTATAATTAATGTATTCGAAGATTCGTGCCTTTCCAACTCTACTAATGCCCTTGATTTCTTTATCATTAAATATCACTTAATAAATATAAAAGATATATTCCTCCATCTAGATATCATATTCTCCCATTATATTTTTAGTTGATTTGTTAATTTAGACATATTATTAATATTAATAAAAATATTTTATGATATTCTATCTTTTTCTTTTTAATTATTAAAAATAGCATTTGAATACAACATTGATTATTTCTGGATACCCGTACGTTATTTTCTAGTTAGCTTATAAAATTCTGTGATGTATTAATGACTATGGATTCATGCATGCTTTACATGACATTTAGCCTTTTAATTATGTATAATATTTTATTTTATTTCTTTAATTTCATAAGGTATTTTTAATTTTTTAATTTTAATATTGTTAGTTTTATTCCAACAAATTTTTATACTAAAATTTTAAATATTGATAAAATATTTTGAAATATTGATATATTAAATTTAATTTTTTAAATAATAATAATTGATATAAAAAATAATCATTTAAAATAAATGATATTAGGGTTAAATGATTAAAAAGATATTTTAAAAAAAATTAAAAAATTAAATTAAAATTTTATATAAAATTAAAGGTTTAAAAGTATATTTTAATTTTTTATATTATTAATTTAAATTGATAAAAAAAAACTTTATTCAAATTTATGAATTTGATTGTAATTTTTTCATGGCCTTGCTGATCAGGAAGAACCACTCCCAACGTACCCAGGCTAGTCCGAATGAAAAAAGAATGAGTGGAATAGAGCAGGGGAAAAGGGAAGATGGCGGAAGAGGGTTTTTCCATTTTTTTTTATTTTTTTATTTTTTTATTTTTATTATTCATTAATTTTATTATTTAAAAAAATTATTTAATAAAATAATTTAAATGGTAGGAATGAGAGAGGTGGAGGAAAATGGAGAGAAAGATAGTGGAGAGACCCTCTTCTCGGAAGATGGCAGGTGGAGTTAAATTCCAGCAAGGACACCGTGCGCCAATCAGCACAGCTCTTTGGATTTTCCATCGTTTCAGATAGTGGCCACTCATCTCTCATCGCCTCCGCCCTTTGTCCCTTCCTTCTCTGCTTCTCTTGCTTCCCCTCAACTCTGCCGCTCGTTGGCAATGGCGGCGATGGCGAAGCTGGCCATGGACATGCCTTCTGCCCCACCTCTTTTTCCTCCCACCTGCACTTCCACTCAGCCTCCCTCCCTCGCCCCCCTCTCTAAACCCCATCTCCGACGCCCCTCTCTCTCCATCTCCCTCCCCACGTCAGCCACCATCTCTCTTCTCGCCCTCTTCCCTCTTCCTTCTGACGCCAGGCCTCTCTCCCTCTCCAAGGACCAGATCGTTTCTTCTCTCACCCAAGTAACTTCATTCCCCCTCCCCCCTCCTCTCACGCTCAATTTTCATTCTCACATGGATCCTTTCCTTATCTCTCTCTGCTTTCAGGTGGAGCAAACCATCGATCAAGTTCAGGAGGCGGGTTCCGGTTTCTTGGATACCACCCAGCGTCTCCTTCAACTTTTAAGCGATGCTTTCAAGCCCGCCCTCGACTCCGCCTTGCCAATTGTACGGCAGGCCGGTGAGGAGGCCTTCAAAGTTGCTTCCCCGGCCATCTCCGAGGCTTCCAAAAAGGCTCAAGAAGCTCTTCAAAGCTCCGGTCTCGATACTCAGCCTGTTCTCACTGCCGCTAAGGTTTTACTTCACTCCACCCTTTCCTATCAATTTTCTGTGCAAATGTGTTCTCTGAATGGGAAAATATTGACTGTGATATGGAAAATCAGAATGGTGACCAACCAATTTCTTGTCTTAGGACCTGGAACGGCGAGTATAATGGATGTGACTTCCTTAGGAGTGATTTTATTGTTTGTTTCTTCTAAGGGATATAATGCATCGTATGATTTCAGACCGTAGCAGATGCCGCCCAACAAACAGGCAAGGTTATTGAAGATGCTAAGCCAATAGCTTCAACAACTGTCGAAACTATATCTTCCGCAGATCCTACTGTAATTGCTGGAACAGCTGGAGCAATATTTCTCGCCTATCTCCTGCTACCTCCTATCTGGTCTCTTGTCTCTTTTAACCTTCGTGGTTACAAAGGTAGCTTCGTCATCTTCTAGTGAAGATTGCTTTATGTCTGCGTGGCTTTACAACTTGCGGTTCTCTTCTGGGGCTCATGCTTCCACTTCTATTGCTATGCAGGTGAGCTCACCCCTGCTCAAACCCTCGATCTTCTATGCACGCAAAACTACATTATGGTTGATATCAGGTCAGAGAAGGATAAGAACAAGGCCGGCATTCCTCGCCTTCCTTCTAGTGCTAAAAACAAGATGATTGCCATACCGTAAGTGACGCAGTAAATTGGTCATTCGTTCTATATGAGCCTGCTTGCTTATCTTTGCTCATCCAAAGGAATTGTAACCCTATCACATACATCTAGCATCACTGAATTGCTGCCTAAAATTCAGAGTAGAAGAACTACCGAGTAAGCTGAGAGGGCTGGTCAGAAATGCGAAGAAAGTAGAAGCTGAAATAGCAGCCTTGAAGATTTCATATCTCAAGAAAGTAAACAAAGGCACCAATATTGTGATCATGGACTCGTGAGTATCTATCCTCGTGCGGAGGGGAAAGATTTAAAATCAATGAATGCATGTTAGGCCATTCATTTGTTTTGTGGAAACATGCAGGTACTCGGACTCGGCGAAAATAGTTGCGAGAACGCTGACCAAGCTGGGGTACAAGAAGTGCTATATAGTTGCGGATGGGTTTTCTGGGAACAGAGGGTGGTTACAGAGTAGATTAGGAACAGATTCATACAATTTCTCGTTTGCAGAGGTACTGTCACCGTCGAGAGTGATCCCTGCTCCGGTGAGCCGTTTTGGGACGGCCAGCGGAAAACTTCTTCCTGGGGCGGACTGACAACCCAAATCCATATGTGCATGCTTCGAGTCCTCCTCTGCGTTACATATTTATCTGAATGAATTTCATTATTATTTCCTCAACATCAATCCTCAGCAGTCCAACCGGGAAATTCTTAAGCCTGGTTCGCTCAATAGACTACTAAATTAAGTTTTATATCATCACATTATAAAACGTTGGAAATTGCACTACTTGCAGACCCGAAGCCCAAAGGAAAGGGCTTGTGTGTGTCAGTGTCTAGAACAATCATGGAAATAAAAGCAATATATCGTTGTGCGTGCGTGAGGTGCATGTACCCGTAGGGAGCTTTTCTTCGGTCGAGCTGCCAAACTTCGTGCGGTGCACATGTCTTGCATTACTTGCTAACCAGGCATTCATCCACCAAATTTTTTTCCCTAATCTACAACAAGACGACCTGTTGCTTATATTTTGATTAACAAAATTGAAGAAAGAAATGAATATCATATGGTTTAACAACTAACAAGATAATAATAAAATGGTCTTATGTCTAACAAGTATAAGGATAATATATACTCCTCTATTAAAAAATATAACAAATATAATATATTTTTAATTAAATTTTACTTTAATAAAATAATTATTTATTTTAAATTAATTTATTTTTTATTTATTTTTATTTAATAAAGTGTTACATCTTTAGAAATAATAAAATAATCTATTTAATAAAAATATTTTAAAAAAGATAATGATTATATTTTAAAAAATTTAAAACTTTTTATATTTTTTAACATTTAATTTTTTTAAAAATATTTTATATTTTTAAATGGAAGAAGTAAAATATATTGACCTATAACAAAAAATGATAAAAATCTATCTTTTGCATATAATAATATATTAGTTTTATGTCTAGCAAACACGTTAGACGATATGAGGGATGTTTCAATAAATTACTTCATACATATTTCTTTCGTTTAAAAATGTAAGGTATTTTTTAAAAAATTAGATGTTAAAAAATATAAAATATTTTTAATTTTTTAAAGTATAATTATTACTTTTTTTTAAGTGCTTCTATTAATAATGATATTATATTTATTGTAGGGTGTTTAATAAAGATAAATATAAAAAAATAGAATTAGTTGAAATGTAAGTAACTATTTATTGAAAGGTGAGATTTGATTAAAAATATTTTATATTTTTGAACGAGGGGAGTACAAGATAAAAATAGTTAAAATAATTAACAATGGTTATTTGGTTAGGTGAATGAAAGGGAATTGATTTTCCATAAAAATCAATTTTAAGACCAATAGTCAAGATATATATGATATTGAAATGTTCACATTAATTAAATTAACCAAACTGTGGACCGTGCTTAACTTTCTGCTACTTCATATAAAAACAGGATCTTTGGCCAAGCATCATATGCAAACAATATTATCATTATTACTAATTATAAAGGCCTAAAAAATTATAAATTAAATAAAAGCAAACACCCACACATATTTAAATATTAGTTGTTGAACTTCGGACCAACTGGAAGCGATCACGATCATCACATGGCATCAGCCATCCATCGGGGAGTCCCTCGCGTGTTGTTCTAGCTAACCAAAACTGACATTCAACTTCAAAGGAATCACTTCAGTCTTCACTCCACTTTTTGGCTGGAAAGCTGGTGAAGATGACCATGGCTTCCAAATCGCTTGATTCTATAACTCCCTCCGATATTGAATCTCTTGGTATCACACGAGAAGATGCTGCGAGCCTTCATCAACTTCTCAAAGAAATCGTTGCAATTCACGGGGTTGGAACTCCGGCCACGTGGCAGAACATCTCGAAGCGCGTACTCAACCCTCACCTTCCCTTCTCGTTCCATCAGATGTTGTACTATGCATGCTACAAGAACTATGGTCCTGACCCGCCCGCTTGGATACCCGAACCGTATGCACTTCCGAGAACTCAGTAGAGTATTTTCCATTTAGTATAAATACAAGTTACTTCATCCTGCCGTCTAGCAGGAGGGGAGAGGGAAGGGTGCAGTTGATTGAAATTTTACATTTTTCAAAAAGAATTGTGATTTTGCTAGAGTCAAATGCCATTTTCATTTTTACATTCCATAGCAATGATTTAGCATGTTATGCTTTGCCCTTAAATCCCTTCAATTATGTAAAATTTATGTTGCTTGTAGAAGTTGAAATGATGAAATTAAGTACTATTTAGTAATGGAATTAGATTATTAAATTTATTTCTCTTTGTAGGCACCTGTAGATTTTTTTTTTTTTTTGAATGTGTGCAATCATATTTTTTATGAAATAAAAGGTTCTGATGTGCTTTCATATTTCTCGCCCTCTTCCATGTGTTGCTAGGGCAAATGCTGTTTTAACAAACGTTGGCCTGTTACTGGAGAGGAGGGGGAAAGAATTTTTGGGTTCGGCATATATGGATCCTGTTACTAGCTTTTCTGATTTCCAGAAATTTTCAGTCTCAAACCCTGAGGTCACTAAGAAAATCTCTACATTGTGTTTGGATTTTTTAAATTTTCTTTTAATCTGAACTTTTTATCATTATTGTACATTGTTTCAGGTTTACTGGAGAACTGTACTACATGAGTTAGATGTATCATTTTCTATGCCACCTAAATGCATCTTACAAGAATGTACCTCAGGAGAAACCCAATTAACATACCCAGGTGGCCAATGGCTTCCTGAAGCATCTATTAACCTAGCAAAGAATTGTTTAAATATAAATTCTAGAAGAAGTTTGGATGACATGGTAATAATTTGGCGTGACGAACTACATGATGATCTACCTTTACACAAAATGACTCTTAAGGAATTGCGTGAAGAAGTTTGGTATGCTGGAAAATTTTTGTTCTTTATGCTTCCTATTTGCTTAGTTGAGTTACATAAAACACATTATCATATGATAATAAATGGATTTATTTGATTATACTTCTATTATGTCCATGAAATGGTTACATAGAATCATATGCCCAACATTGGACAATACTTGCAGGCAATTCTTTTGGTGTTTTGTGTTTAAGTTCATCAGTGAAAATATAACATGAGGATATTTGACCAACTTAAAAAGAATATCCTTGATTCCTTTAAAGTTACTTTCCACATGGCATAATTTAATTAAATAACTTGGTAGCAAAGGCACAATAAAACACTTTTAAGTGTATCCTTTAGCATTACCCTGTTCTTTATCCAAGGCTTTTTATGGCTGCTTTCATGTCAAGGTCATTAAATAAACTTCACACTGCTCTCATTTGCTGTGATTACTGTTTATATCAATGAATATCCTTTTGTTGTTGGTTTCGTACAGAATATGGTAAGAATATTATATATATACTTTCTGTTCTAAATGGCCCCTCTCTCTCACACATCTTCCATCCCCTTCATTCTTTATCAGAAATCATACTTTGCTTCACAACTTTTTCTGGGTTATGGGTGTATTATTCAGTCATAATGTCAGTCATTTTCTAGACACACATCTGAGCAAGAAATATGATTGCTTTCTAGTTGGTCTTTAACCAAAAGGAGGGAAAGAGAAAATCTTTTCTTCTTAGAGTTCAGTAACACGATGTGAGGAAATGTTAATGGTGAGTTCCCAGTATATGATTTATTTAACTGAGGTTTACTTTCTATAATCTGTAGTTCTAGTCAGTGCTCTTTGAAATAGAAACAAAGCAAACCATAATGAGAATTTCCCAAAATTATCTGTAGATTTGATATCTTGAAATTATGATACTCAATTTTTCATGTTCGTTAATGCCAGCTACATTTTTGTTTCATAGATTCAAACAAAGAAAGCAACTAAATAGATGATGTGTGTTGGTTCTGTAATGTAGGTTAGTTGCATATGCACTCCAAGCTTTAGGCCTAGAGAAAGGATCTTCTATTGCAATTGATATGCCGATGGCTGTCAAATCTGTTGTTGTCTACCTAGCTATTGTTCTGGCAGGTTATGTTGTTGTATCAATTGCAGATAGTTTTGCAGCGCCTGAAATATCAACCAGGCTTAAAATATCAAAAGCAAAAGTCATATTCACTCAGGTTGGCTTCCTGATTTACTCTGACTTTAAATGTTTTCATCTTGTAATTTCAGATGTTTTATAGATTCTTTGGTATCTATGTCCCCCCCCCCCCCCCGGTATTCTGTTTTCTTTATCTTTCTATGCTACCAGGCCCTTCTTCCCTCAGCGAGCTGGCAGGCAGTATAGCCAATTGTTTGTTATGGTGGGTTTGCCCTGAAAGGCTGAAACCAATCAAACCTAAGCGCTATTTCTGTTGTTACTATGAGTGCTCTCAAACAGCCACCAAAAATATCCTAGAACCAAATCCTATTGCCTTAAAAAAAAAAAATCCTATTTCTGAAATCCACAGTCTTTTTACCTTGAAACTCTAAACTTAGGTTAATAACCTAACCCTATTTCTGTCGTACATTTTGTTCTGTGCTAACTTGTTCTTTTTTGTTGAAGTATTTTCTACCCTGGGAGTATATGAGAGGGCCTTTGACATTGGGTATATTTTTTAAGTTATAGCCTGTAATGCTTATCCATCTAACAATTGAACAATAATATCTTGCTTACCAATCCTGTGAATGATTTTCCATTGTTTTAGGTGGTTGATGTTTTGAAAATATCAAATATTGTCTGTTGCAAAGCTATATATGATTCCTTTTTTCCCCTCACAACAACAACAACAACAAACAGCCTTATCCCACTAGGTGGTCGGCTACGTAGATTGCACTTCATCATTGTGCTCTATGATATGATACCTTTTTTTAGAAAAGAAATTCATAATGTGTAAAGTCTGTTATTACTACTGTTATCATAATTGTCAATTTGTAGATTATCCAGTGTAACAGGGGTTCAGTTTTTACCCTTTTTTATCAATTAGGATCTCATCATTCGCGGTGACAAAACCATCCCCCTCTACAGGTGAAGTTCCTTTTACTAGCTAGAGTAATACTCCTTTAGTTGAAATATTACCTCTTCTTTGTTTCTCAGTAGTAACATGATTCACATTGTGGCTTCACAAATGCAGTAGAATTGTGGATGCTGAGTCACCTATGGCTATAGTGATCCCAACCAGAGGGTCTGGGTTAAGCATGAAATTACGTGATGGTGATCTTTCTTGGTGTGATTTTCTGGAAGGCGTTGATAGTCTAAAGTATGTCCCTTGGTCCTAATAAAATTTATGTATTAGGATGAAATTTTGGGATGTTGTATGTGCTTTGTTTCTCTCATGGTTCCATTGCATGTGCTTTATGATCAGAACTTATTTGACAAATCCTAAGCATATGTAGGTTCAATTGTTGTGAAGTTTATTTGGAATTTTGATCCTCATATGTCATGTAATATACAGAGGCAAGGAATTTATGGCTGTAGAACAACTGGCAGAAGCATTTACGAACATTCTCTTTTCTTCTGGAACAACAGGTATAAGTTTGAAATTTTAAACTGAAAGCGTGCTTCAGCAACTCTAAATGATTTATGGGGGGGATCGAATCTTATGCTTCCTTTTGACTGATAATGTGGCATTGTTATTTTCTTTCATTCATGTTTTTTCTTGTTTTTCATCCCCCTAACTCCCCTTTCTCTTTGAGGAGGTTGTCTTTCCCTGCTCTTTGGAAATTGTCTTCCTATCTAATGAAGCTTCTTTCTTGAACTGAAAAAGGGGGTGAAGAACAAAAAGAAAAAGCTCTCTACCTGAACAAGGAAAAAACATAAAAGCTCTCTACCTGAAAAAGGAAAAACATAAAAGCATTTGTATTTGTTTTAAACCAAAAGCTTTTGTGCTGATCAAGGAGAGTTGATAGAAAGGGATTTATTCAAAGCCAAGACTTCAATTACCACATCTGGGGCAGGCTAAAAAGCTTATCTTATGTCACCTGACATGCAATAAATTAGTTATTTTGTGGTGCAGGTGATCCAAAGGCAATTCCATGGACCAATGTAACTCCTCTAAAAGCTGCTGCAGATGCATGGTGCCACTTGGACATTCGTAAAGGTGATGTTGTTGCCTGGCCTACTAATCTTGGATGGATGATGGGTCCTTGGCTAGTATATGCTTCATTGATAAACGGAGCTTCAATGGCTTTATATAATGGATCTCCTCTTGGGACTGGCTTTGCCAAGTTTGTACAGGTATAAGCTCATCCTTCTGTTTAAATTTGCAATTTTTTTTCCTAAGCATTTGTTGGCTGTGCTTATTTGCTATTCCCCTCTTACTTCGTTCTCAGAAGTTCTACTATCTAATCTAAGTATTCATGGGATAACAAGCGCTTGCACAAAAGAGTTCTTCTAGTAGCATTTCTTTCTAATTTTTGCTTCAAACTGCTCTCATCCAGAACCAGACAAAATAGTTGGCTTGAATGGAATCATAAAATCTAGAAAGAATGCATGTCAAAATTTCTCTTTCTCTCTTGCCTTCTCTCCTCATGCATAAATTTCCTGCTCACTAAACTTCATTATCTAAAAAGTATAAAGTGAAACGTCTTCCTGTTTTTTTCCCTGCCAAGTAAGCAGGTTATCTAGAGACTCTACATTATATTTTGTTTTTCACAAAATGATGGTAGCAGGACTATATTTCCGTATTGCACGCCAGGCATCTCTTAAACATTCAAATCAATTTTTCCTTTTGGTTCAAAATTATTACTGTTTTTGCTCAACAAAATATTTTTTACCTGTATTTTATTCTTGTATTACTGGTTAGGTTATTATTTAGCTCTCCTTCAATAATTGTTTTCCTTCGATACAAATTGGTTTAATGATATGTATCTCACGGAATGATATTGACAATGTTCAACGTTATGTCCAGATTGCCCTTTCTTCAATTCACTTAATTTTAGTTTTCCATAATTGCAATGATGGGAACATGATTTCACTCAATTTTTCCTCCTTTCTTAGTGGTATTCTATGACTTTTAGTTCAATGAAATTGCAGTAACCTATGCTTGTATTCTTGTTATTACTAACTTCAATAATTGCTTTAATCTTACTGATTGGTTTTGTCAGATATATCAAAGTGATATTGACAGGATCCACATTTTATAAATACACTATAACTCTGGACATCAATTTCTTCATTCAATTTAATATTAATTTCCCACTACAGCTATACGAACATTGTTTTCCAATATAACAGGGGCCATGTTAACTTTTATGAAAGCAGTTAAAATTGTGAAAGTTGACAATTTTGCAATTTCTGTATTCTGAAGATAACTTATAATGTACTATGCACTTTCAAATTAAATCATACTTAAGATTCAAAGAAAGTTGGAATGTTTAAAATTAGCAAAAGCATTATTGATCCTGGAAATTCTGTAAATTTTTTCGCATTAAAATTTAAAATTGCCATGTTTTTTTCACTTAATCAATAGGAATGTTTTTTTCTATATACTTTTACTTCTAGCTGAATGATTTTCTACTTTGTTTAAGGATGCTAAAGTAACAATGCTTGGTGTGATTCCAAGTCTTGTACGGACTTGGAAAAGTACAAATTCCACTGCTGGCTATGATTGGTCTTCCATCCGGTGAGTCTTGCTTGTAATTATTACTATTATGCAGCAAAGAACCACATGAAAATGTATTAAAAAATGCGATTGCTTTTTGTATGATGTAGTTGCTTTGGCTCCACTGGAGAAGCATCTAATGTAGATGAATACCTTTGGTTGATGGGGAGGGCTCACTACAAACCTATTATTGAATATTGTGGTGGTACAGAGATTGGCGGCGGCTTTGTTTCTGGATCATTACTGCAGGCTCAATCATTGGCTGCTTTCAGCATACCTGTGATGGGCTGCACTTTGTTTATTCTTGGCAATGATGGCTATCCCATCGTAAGCACCACTGAAATTTTGGATGGAAGAATTTTGTTTTTTGTTTGCTTTTTTCGGCTCAACAAGAAGCATTTTTTGCTTTCACAGTTAAACTGTTTTTTAGATTATTTGACTGTTCTGATTTGACCAGTTGAACCAGCTTTCGGATTAAGGTTCTGTTTGGCTCTCACCTTTTGACCATTAGTGGTCAGACCAGATAACATCTGTCTGGTATTTCAGGATCAAGGTGAGAGCCATTTGGGCAAACTGCTTTTTGTGACAGAAATTTTATGCCAACATATTTGTTGTGCTAATAGAAAGAGAGAAAATAAAATGCATTAAAAGAAAAGAGGGAATATGAATATTTTGAATAAAGGCAAAGTTGAATAGATTTGTCAAAATAATCTCATACCTGTCATATTCTTTTTTTCAAAAATTTAATATCATAAATGTTATGCATATATGAATTGAGATACTGTTACTTAAAATATTAATCTCTATATTTCTAATACTTCTATTCCAATTTAAATTTTGGCTCATACAAATACTTATTAACTATTTTGTGGGCACATTCTTTGCTTGAAGGTTGAGGCGAGCCGCATCATTTATAGTCTATGAATAATATGGTTTTATATAGATTTTATATTATACATAGATTAATTAATTCTTGTAATATTTTAAATAGATTTTCATATATCCCCTAGTTGGATCAATGAATAGACCTGCTTTCCTTTTTGAGTTTCATGATTGGTCTTGTTTTCAAAACCCTACTAGATCGCTTAATATGCGAATGAACTACAAATATCTTGCATTCTTGTGGTTCCTAATAACGAGTGGTCTTTTTCTTTTCCATGGTTTGCATAGTGCATGAATTTGAGTTACATTTGTTTTTGTAATCTTGATGAACCTTTCTTGAATGGCCAATTTATTATACAGCTTTGTTTTTCTTTTCTTGTACAAACCACTGACTTTGTTAAATTCTGAAAACTTATTTCTTCTACTTCAGCCTCAAAATGTTCCAGGAATGGGTGAATTGGCTCTTGGACCCCTTATGTTTGGATCTTCTAGTACGCTACTGAATGCTGACCATTATAGTGTATACTTCAAGAGCATGCCTTTATGGAACGGCAAGGTAGGCATATTTTTCTCTTCTAGCTTGTGGCGTTCAGGTGTCTGCAGAACTTGATTCTTTGCACCAAGTTTCTTGACTTAGGTTTTGCGAAGGCATGGGGATGTATTCGAGCTTACTTCTAGAGGATACTATCATGCGCATGGTCGTGCAGATGATACAATGAACCTTGGGGGAATCAAGGTTAGCTTTTGGCCCATATTTCAGACGTGGGTGAATCAGTTATTTGAAGTAAAACACATCTCAAACCAGCATAAATTCATTAGAGGAAGAAGGCCATTCTTCATTCCTTTTTGAGTGCTTGCCAATGTATTTTAACTTATTTACATGCGGTCTAGGGTTATTGATTGAGTATATGAGCTTACATGTTGTGTTGTCTTTCACTTGAATGTCTAAAACATATGATAATCCACGGGTTGTATAAAACTACAGTGGAGCAAATCATGAAAGGTCAATCATGATATGAATCTTTATGATCATAAAATGCATCAGGGCAGTATGTTTTAGTTAGTATATAGCATGATAGGTTGTGTAGCCCGGAGTTTGGATAATTTGTTATATGTTGGTCTGTTCTTGTCTCCAATTCCTTTTTCTTTGTCGTTACTTTTACTTAAGGTTGTATATCACCCCCAACTCAATCATTGAGAATCTCAAACCTATTTCATTTTATTTTGGTGAATAAACATGGACAAAGTGTGCAGCGTGGGAGTTAGAGAGAAATTTTCTTATTTTTTATGCATATGCATTCTGATTCTTGTTTTTTCAAATATGCTTCACGCACGGACTCTCTTTGAGATCAATTATTAGGTCATAGTTGTAGTCCGAGTTTAAATTCTTTTAAAGTGTCATTACTTAAAAATTGGAGCTATATTACGGTCCACTCTTCAACTAGACACAACATGAAACTTAGTCATGCTGTAGGGTCTGTATCCTGTTGTGTTCCATAGCAGGTTAGTATCGACATATTCTAGACCTTAGTCTGTTCATCAGCTCCTTTCTGCTTGGGCAGGTGAGTTCGGTTGAGATTGAACGCATATGCAATGGAGTTGATAGCAATATCCTGGAAACAGCTGCCATTGGAGTCCCGCCCGCAGGAGGTGGACCTGAGCAGTTGGTTATAGCCGTTGTATTCAAGAATTCAAACAATCCATCACCAGACCTACATCTACTTAGATTGTCTTTCAATTCTGCTCTTCAAAAGACGCTAAATCCATTGTTCAAGGTATCAATTCTCTTAATCAAAAAGTGTCTGTCTTTTCTATTATCTACTCAAATTTTGGTTCGTCAAATCATGTTCATTTGCGCAGGTTTCTCGAATCGAGCCTCTGTCATCTCTTCCTCGGACAGCTTCAAATAAGGTCATGAGAAGGGTTTTGCGGAAGCAGTTTTCTGAGCTTTGCCACAGTCCGAAGCTTTGATGAAGTTCTTGTTCTTCCAGAACCATTTATGGATATAAAGGGTAACGCGTGCCACTTGACAAACCCCCCTTTGATGTTGATGAGCATGACCATGTATGGTTAATAATTGATAATAGCATTTAAAAGAAAATATGAATAAGTTTTTCTATTGTGGGATCAAGAAGAAATGTTCTATGTAGATTGGTGGAGACTTGTAAGTAATGACAAACGCTAGGCGTCTCTAAATGTCCACTTGCAAGTCCGGCGTTTATATGTTGTGTTTATACCACAAACAAAAATTATCCACTTATTTAGAGATTTTAATCGTCGTCAACGTGTTCAGAAATTTTGATCCGTCACTACAGTTTTTCTTCAGGCTCGGCGTTTTGTCAAATTTCTAGATGTGAAAGATGTGTCAGGCTAGACAAAAGAAAAGAAGCATTGTGCCAAAGAAGGTTGATATGGGTCGTAAAAGTGTGGTTCATATTCTGTAAAGGTAAGGTGTGGGTTTGAATCTTGTTATTAATGCTTCTGGCAAAAAAAAAAAAAAACAAAAACAAAAACAAAAACTTCTTGTTATTAGTGATTTTATTGATAAATAATTTTTAAGCATTTTTAAATGTTTTTTGTAGTTTAAACCTTGAAACATGTCCTAGTGTTAATGGGCTTTCAAAATCATTTCACCTAAACTTTTTACATTAAAAAAGGATGCGTTGCAGGAAGATATTGAATTAAAATTGTACGCAAAACTTTGTTTATGGCTTCATTATTTGTATGAAGATTAAAGTGCGTTGGATTATTTATAATTTATATTTAATAAATAATTATAAAAATTCGCTTCAAATTTCATGTCGATGAAATGTGCGTATGTGAATGAGTATTCAAGCAGGAGCGCAGGGCGCTATTAGGATAACGACCGGAGTCACCACACTAATTGTTTACTGTCATTGTCCCGGAGGGGGGGGGGGGGGGAACCACTCTTCCAAAAAAAAAAAAAAAGGAATCATATTAAATGTACCAAAAACAAATTTGCCGTTCGTAAAAAATGCTAGAACCATTTAGATATATACTATGAGGTAAGCACTCAGGGCTAAGATAATTAAAAATCCAATTTTGAATATTCGCACGTAGGTGTAACTTGGTATTTGTAGTCATGAATTTTATGAAGAATTGGTTAATCTGTTGGTTAACAGGCAAGTTGTCTAACATATATGCTTATTTAAACTTATCCTGGTTGCATTCTCTCAAAATCAATTCTTATTCTGTTAGTTCCATAGAGTTATTGTTTTTGTTTCCTTTGCTTCTTGTCCAGCATCTTTTAATTCCCTGCTCTTTCAGATGAGCTTAGGACCATTGGCTTCTATTTAAGATTAAATGCATCGACTTTTCTTCCACTAGTTGTTAGTAAATGGTCCTTTGTGGCTAACAAGAAGGGTGATTATATGTACCTGCTTCTTTTGAGTGGTTGAAAATTGTTTAAGATGGTTTAGACATATTCAATGAAAGCAATAAGAGGTATTACTGAGGAGAGTGAAACAAATTGCTTTAAATCATGTAAAGAAGGGTAGAAGAAGAATAAAAAGAGCACTCAATAAAATTATTGAATGAGACTTCTCAGTTAATAATATATCCAAAGATTTGTTTGTTGAAAGAGCATAATGATGTCATACAATTTATGTAACTAATCCCATCTAATAGAATAAAGTTTGCTGTTATTGTTTCCTTTAAGTATAGTTTAACACTCGAGTTTGTGTTCATTGATAGGGGTGGAAGTGTGTAAGGTTATTCATGAGTCACTTTGGTTTAGCTCGCTAAATGTATTGTAAAAGTAGAAGATTTTTGTTAACGGTAGAATACTGATTATAATGGGATAATGGATAATTTGAGAAGTTAGATATATATTAGGAATAAATATTATTTTATTTTATTTTAGATATTTTTTATTATTTAAATTTTATTTAGATATTTTGTTATTTAGATTTTATTTAAATATTTGTTCTTATTTTATTTAAATATTTATTCAGATATTTAGTTATTTAGATTTTATTTAGATATTTAGTTCTTTAGATTTTATTTAATATTTTATTTAGATATACTCTCTTTGTTTCTATATGTAAGAGAAAAAAAAATGTATCACATAATTTAAGAAAATCGATTACCTATATTAATTGTGTTTGAAAATAAAAGAATTAGACTACAATACCCTTTATTAATTGTGTTAATCAAGCCTTCATTAATTATTTCTTATGAGTATGAATGATAAAATTATGAAGAGTAGTTTAAAAAGTTTGCAATAAATGCCTATTAGGAAATGTGATTTTGTTTGTATAAAAAAATAAATTAAAGTGGTAGTTTTTCTTACAAATACAAATGGAGGGATTAGATTTTAGAAGATTTTATTTAGTTTTTATCTAGTTATCTAAATTTTATTCATTATTTTAGATTGTATTTAGCATTACAAAAATGCTTAGCAACTTATAAGCAAGCATATCATGAATAAAACAAACATTTGAGATTTTGGCCTTTTGGATATTCTCCTAAGCATAGTTATTGAAAAAAGTGTAGAATGAGATTCTTATTTTATATCATCTTAATAGATTTATCCCAGATTTGGCCAGAATATCCCAAACTATTATTGTTTCCTTTAAGTATAGTTTAACACTCGGGTTTGTGTTCATTGATAGGGGTGGAAGCGCGTAAAGTTATTCATGAGTCACTTTAGTTTAGCTTGCTAAATGCATTGCAAAAGTAGAAGATTTTTGTTAACGATAGAATATCGATTATAGTGCAATAATGGATAATTCGAGAAGTTAGATATATATAATAAATAAATATTATTTTATTTTATTTTAGATATTTTTGATTATTTAAATTTTATTTAGATATTTATTTATTTAGATTTTATTTAAATATTTGTTCTTATTTTATTTAGATATTTATTTAGACATTTAGTTATTTAAATTTTATTTAGATGTTTAGTTCTTTAGATTTTATTTAGATATACTCTCTTCGTTTCTATATATAGAAGAAAAAAACTGTATCACATAATTTAAGAAAATTAGTTACTTATATTAATTGTGTCTGAAAATAAAAAAATCAGACTACAATACTCTTTATTAATTGTGTTAGTCAAGCTTTCATTAATTATTTTTTATGAGTATGAATGATAAAATTATGAAGGATAGTTTAAAAAGTTTGCAATAAATGCCTATTAGAAAATGTGATTTTGTTTATATAAAAAAATAAATTAATTCCTACAAATAGAAACAGAAGGAGTAGATTTTAGGAGATTTTATTTAGTTTTTATCTAGTTATGTAGATTTTATTCATTATTTTAGATTGTATTTAGCATTATAAAAATGCTTAACAACTTATAAGCAAGCATATCATGAATAAAACAAACATTTAAAATTTTAGCCTTTTGGAGATTCTCCTAAGCATAGTTATTGAGATAAGTGTAGAATGAGATTCTTGTTCTATATTATCTAAATAGATTTATCCCTTCTATTTTTTTCTATCAATTTTATGTTCTCTTATTAATACTATGAAGTTAGATTCTATTTTTATACATTAATAGAGATTTATCTTATTTTTCTCTACCTATCTTAGATTCTATCATTTGGTATTAGAGCCACTTGATCCAAAGATGGTACTCACCTATTCCGCACTCTTTCTTCACAAACCTACAATTTCACCACCCCCTCATATCCTATTATCATTTATCTTCTAGAACACCTTTTCCCAAGTATGATGGTGGAGATTTGCAGCCATGGATTTTAGAGGTTGAAAATTATTTTTGATATTATCACACTTTTAAAAATTTCAAAGTTGATATTATATTGAGGTATTTACAAGGAGACACTCATGATTTCCTTACTTATATTAACATGAAGCATACAATCCTCTATTAGGAAGAATTAGTAGAGGTGTTACAAGAAAATTATGGGCCTTTAGCATATCAGAAGCCATATGAATACTTGTGCAGCTAGTTTTGTGCAAGAGTATAGTTTGGAATTTGCTAGGCCCTCTACTTGTGTGAACGATTGGCCATAATATTTACCTTTTGGGAGTTTTTATAAAAGGCCTTAAGGTGGAGCTCAAATTTGAGGATGCATAAACCTAGGTTAGTTTATAAGGCCACCGGTTTGGCCTTTGAATATGAGAAGCCCAAAAATCTCATGGGCCCAAAACTGTCCCACAAAACCATACTAAGCTAGCCCTTGTTTCCTTCTGGACATTATCAAACTGTATGTGACTTTAATGAAACATTAGTGTTGACTTCAAACTCCTTTTAGCTAGAAACCTTGACCTCATTTCCTCACAAGCTAGCATTTGTGATTTCTACCAACACAACTTCCATAGGAGCCAAATAGCAGTGACAATAAGAGATGGGGCTGTGTTTCAGCTGTGGTAAGACTATCAAATTTGGTGGATAGTATGTCTAACTACAATTTTATCCTTAATGTTTCCATATAGCCTCTTGTTCAACCTTTTGGAACCTACATTGGATATGTTGCTATTTACCTATTACTCTCATTTAAACCTCTAGATACACAAGAAAGCTATTGCCTATGTCTCACCTTAAGGATAAGGCGAGTTTTCAAGGGGGAGTATTGATGGATTATCGATTATGGTGGGATAATGGATAATTTGAAAAGTTAGAGATATATTAAAAATAAATATTATTTTATTTATTGTAGATATTTTTTATTATTTAGATTTTATTTAGATATTTATTTAGATATCTGGATATTTATCCAGATGTCTAGTTATTTAGATTTTTAGATGTTTAGTTCTTTACATTTTATTCAATATTTCATCCATATATAGATTTTAGGAGATTTTATGTAGTTTTTATTTAATTATCTAAATTTTATTCATTATTTTATATTGTATTTATCATTATAAATATGCTTAGTAACTGAGAAACAAATATATCATGAATAAAACAGACGATTAAGACTTTGGCCTTTTGGAGATCATCTTAAGAGTAACTATTAAGAGAAATATAGAATGAGATTCTTGTCCTATATCATCTAAATAAATTTATTCTTTTTATTTTTCTCTATCAGTTCTATGTTCTTTTGTTAGTATTATGAAATTAGATTTTAAGTTCATACATTAATAGATATTTACTTTTCTTAATTTTCTATACCTATCTTAAGTTCTATCAGTTAATTTTTAAACCTTTGAATCTAAGAGTTAGTTGAATATAATTATATTGAAATTTATCTAAACTCTTAAATTTTTCTATTTTGATACTTAGATATAGTTCTTTGTGCTTCTTTTCCTTCTTACGCGCATGTGCACACACACACACATTCTCTTCTTTGT